TTTGCAAAAGCTAAGTCCTCTTGAATTACTAATTAAGTTTCCAATTTTGACTGCTATGATATTTAAACCAGCCGAAACGTAACAATCCCCCAAGTAAATATGATCCTTACTTCAGGGCTTCTTGTGAGATATCTTTGAGAAGTCTCAATGACTTGATAAAGTGCTATTTGAAATGCACAATTATTATATTATATCTTATACGGCGCTTTTCGCTTCAGATGAACTTCTCAAAACACTTATTGCATTAAAAGAGGGAGCATATTCCCAATTAAAGAAAGGAAACTGCTATTAAGCAGTTAATAGATATTAAGGTTAATTAGGAAAAGTGTGAGATCTTAAATAATTAGCATCAACATTTTAACATGGAGAGGAAAGGAGAGTTTTTTAATTCACAGGAAAAGTAACAATTGGGACCTTGTAAAAGTAAAATAAATAAACTTAGTACAATGAAAATGAAATGCCGGTGTATTAGTGGATTGTTTCTCAGTCTTTTTCGCTCTCCCATTGTCTATGATTAGCCAACAAATCCTTGCCAACAATCCCCTGGATACAAAATAATTGTGGAATTCTGTAGCTTAAGGGTTAGAGCAATCGGCTTGAAAGCGAGAGATCTGAGTTCGATTCCTAAGAGGGCCAAACATTGGGCAAGTTTCCTTACTCCAGACGCCTCGGTTTACCCAGCAGTAAGTAGGAACCCGCTTGTTAGTCGATCGTCGGATCGCTTTTCCAGGGTAATAATTCATGCAAACAAAATAAAAATAATAATAATCGATTGGTCACTCAATCCACAGGACACTGCTGTGCGCAATTGGCTGCCGCGTTTCGCCCACAAAATGTACAGTCCATTCACTTTAAAGGATATTCTGAAGAAGCGCTTTGAGACATCTCGAAGACGTGATAAAACGCTATATCAAATGCAAGGATTATTATTAATAATACAAAAATACATTTGTATAGCGCCTTTCTCATTGGGAGGATAGAATCAATCATTCCCCTCATAGCTGTTGGTGGGGCATTGCTGTGCTCAAATTGGATAGCAAATTCACCTAAAAATATGCAGTCACTAAACTTTACAGTGAATCCTATTAAGCCCTTTGATATGACCTCTTGAGACAAATGGCACTATATCAAATGCAATGATTGTTATTAGAATATGATAATAATTTCTGCTCTCAGGAAATCAATCCCGGAACCCCTAAGATTCACTCGCTCCCTCACGTCACCCAAAGTATTCCCCACCTACAAATCCAGCCTAAAGCCCTTCCAGTCTCCTCCCCCCTCCCTCTTCCCCTGGCTCGTTGTCAGACTGCGCCACTGTCAAGTGCTCCAGGTCGCTACCCTGTGTGAAGAGCGCTGTATAAATGCAAGTTGTTCAAATGTACCTCTTTGAGCGTGCTTTCGATTATCTTCCCCCCGCTCACCTCGGCTCCCACCCAAAGCAATTTGAGACGTCCACCTGAATGTGAAATGCGCTGTATGAACATGAATCGCGCTGTGTTGGTGTTGATGTTATAGTTCAAATTATACATGGGAAGTGGCGGTCTTTGTTATTTGCTGGCTTGAGGTGTACTTCGGCTGCAGTAAGCTCCAATAACTAATGAACAGATGGAAAGTTCCCAGTGGTTTGCGGCTGTAGATGATTTCTGCGTTATTTTCCCCCATTCCACACACGTTCAAGCATTTCAACAACCTGCTGCTTCTCTGATACTGGATTCAAAGTGTGACAGGTGCAGAACACAGTCATCCATGATCTCACTGCTGCAGCGATAGACAACAGGATCAGATTTGTTGTCTGTGAGATGCTCAGCACGGATATAAACCTTAGGCCCCGAGTGGTTTCCTGCAAGGCTATAGTTTCTATCATTCTAAAGTTCAAACTCATTCCGGGAATCTCTTTGACAAACATATTTATTTACCCCTCAATGACATCTCCTCTGTGAACCCATATAGTCTATGCCAACAATTAAGTCCAATGCTGCATTGTTGGAAGTGCCGTCCTTTAGATGAGATGCTAAACCTATTTGAAAAGAGAAAGCAGTTTATCCAGTGTCCTGGTCAACATTCCCCCAAATAAAATTAGTCGCTCACTCCATGGCTGTTTGTGAGACATTGATGTGCACAAATTGGCTGGCGTATTCTCCCTCAAAACATACAGTCAGAACAATAATAACAATAACTTGTATTTACCTTCATGCAGGTAGCGTATCAGAGCGCTTAACAGAAGTGGATGCAGGGAGAGAGGGGAGAGGACTGAAAGCCCAGGCAAAGAGGAAGATTTGATCCCTAGACAGGCAAGGAGGGGGCAAGGTGGAGGGATTGAGGCAGAATTCCAGGGTTTTTGAGTGGATTGGCTGAACACACGGCCACCGTTGGTGGAGTGGAGGTAACAAGAGACAGTGTAGCAGCCAATTTGCACACAGCAATGTCCCACAAGCAGCCATGAACAACAACAACATCAAATTGCATTTGTACAGCCTGTTTCATGTCGGGAAGGAAGTGAATGACTGTCCTCCTGTGAAAGGTGCCTGCTTCAGTTTAAAGTTACATCCTTCAGATGAGACATTAAACTGAGGACTGTTTGATTGAAATTAGAGATCCCAAGGCACTATTCCAGAAGAGAACGGACTTCCTTCCTGTGTCCTGATCAACAATTCCCACACCTCCTTCACCCAGAAAAGAGTCATCATTCACATCATTGCTCTTGTGTGTGTATGTATATGTGTGTGTTGGCTGCTGAGTTTTGCCTACAAAATATCTACGCTTCACAGTAAATCCCATGAAGTGCTTTCAGATGTTCTCCCTACATGAAAGGCTGCCTTAAATGCAAGGTGTGTTGTTATTATACGCTTGCTTTAACCAAGAACATTCAGGCCTGAGCATCTGTCACAGTCAAGGCCTTTTTTGGGGTCAGACTTAAGAGTATCCGAACCAAGCTGAGAATTCCTTGCATCCCACCTACACGTGGAAATTCCAGAGATAGGTTGTTGGAATGGAATGTGCACTCTCTCTCCCTGGAGGGATGCATTCCTGCTTACCTAATTCCGGAAAGTATTAGGCGCAGATTAGCAAGAGCCAAGGCTTGGGGATTCCAAGGTGTCCGTTGGGGTAACTGCTGGTCTAACCAACTAAAACCACATGACTTACCATCGATCGCACGGTCTGGTAAGCTTTCCCATTGCTTGTCCAGCTAATGCCACCATAACTGTTAGGACTTTGGCTTGGAGAGTGAGCAGGAGCTGAGTGGGAAAGATCTCTCTGCCCCCAGTGACTGGTCTGCCCCTTCCAAGTCCTGCTGATCAGCCAGGCTAACTGTGGCCCTTTAAATTGAAAGCAGCGTTCTCTGTCTTAAGCCACCAGATTCATGATGAGCGTATTTTCAGCACCTAATTGGCAACATTATTTTCCATTAAAACGACATTATAAGACAGTGATTCATCCAGATTGTGGTGGACAGCTCTCAATATTAAAAGACACATAGGCCAGTGATCTCCTTTGTCACACTGCTCTGATCTCAGCCTCGTCAAACAAAGCTCTTGAATTATTTCATGCCCTGCAGCTATGTCACCCTGTAAGAATAATAATTGCAAACTTTGTTTCTTAAATTAAGTGAACGTTCAATAGATTAATACCTACCCTGAAGGAGCTAAGCTATAATCACTTGCTGGGGGTAGACCGGGGTTATATTCCTTCGAGCAGGGAGGTTAAAGGGTGATTTGATTGAGTTATTTAAAATAACAAAGGAATTGACAGGTTAGATTGCGGATTCTTACCTGTAACCGAGAATTCAGAAATAAGACAGTGAGAACTGCGGTCAGGAATCATTTCCTCGGGTAATGGATTTATTTTACATTTATTTATTAATGCGTAAAGTGTATTGATTTACCTCCCAGTCTCTGATCCACACAGCTGGAGGTAGGGATTCTTCCCATTCAATTCCCTCCCTCACCTCTTTCACAATCAGTCTCAAGACCTTCATTTTCAATCGCATTTTCAGTCATCTTTCTCAAATTCAACCTCTGTTGGCTCCCAACCGTAATCCTGCGTACTGATACAAGTTGCAGTGATTATAGATATGATGAGCTGAAAATTCCTGGTTTGTGGAAAAAAAAATTGCCGTGTGATTTTATGTGTGCTTTTTTTTTTAATGCATATTAAAACTAGGATGGAATTCCAGTGAGTTAGGCTGAAAGCCTAACTGACGATGATGGGAGACATGAAGCAGACCGGTGCTTAATGCAATATAAATAAATTAATAATTCTAAAAAAATCATGAATTGTCATGTCACCTATGGCGCACTTAAGAAATGTCATGTGCCTGGTTCGAATGTCATTGTTTTTGCTCTGACGAAGTTGCTTGTGTGTTGTATAGATTTAATAATAATAATAAATAATCTTTGCATTTGATATAACGCCTGAGACGTCTCAAAGCACTTCACAGAATACAATATAAAGTGGATTGACTGCATATTTGTAGGTGAAACACAGCAACCAAATGCGCACAGAAGTGTCCCACAAACAGTCATGGTTGGAGTGACTACATATTTTGGGGGAGGGATTATTACCCCCGGGAAGCGATCCACTAATCGAGTAACAACCGAGTTCCTACTTACTGCTATGCAACCAGAGGCTTGTGGTGTAAAGAAACTTACCTAAGGTTTTAGCCCCACACGGGAAACAAACCCGGATCCTCTCGCTTGCTATCCACTAAACTCCAGGACTCCTCCAACATGTAGGTTATGGGTTGAAGTAAGGAAAAATAAGGAAAATTAAGGAAATGTCCTCTCCTCTTCTTTCCTCAGGCTCACTTCGATGCTGAAGGTGCGTTTGACACAACGGTTTTCTGGAGAGCACAACGAAGGGAAGTGCGTCGTGTTCCAAGTTCCTGGGTTGAGGGGAGTGCCGAAGAGAAGGATTCCAAGCTCACGGAGAGCCCCGCTGCTTCTCCCTGGAGCACGTGGGAAATCAGTGGCTGAGATCTCGGATTGTGCTGAGTGTAGATCATGTCGGTGTGCCGTGCCTCCGGTGCAATCCTTGTCACCGCTCCTCCCTTCCGCGTTGCAGCTGCACTATCTGTGTTGCTCGCGTCACTCGTCTGCACAGCGAGCGGGCAAACAGTTTGCCGGAGAGACAAATTCTCCGAGTGGCGCTCCCATCCGGAGGACATCACCGTGAAGTGGGCGCTCAGTCGGAACATTTGCTCCGACTTTCACGCGGAATGCTGGTACTTTGGCCCCGATGACCAGAGGGGAGTCGCCGAAGCCAATCAGGCCCTGAACTTGGCCCAAAACTGCCCTCTGGAGCTGCAGGTCGGAGACGGTCTATTCATTTCACCGGATCTGTCTCTGGAAACACGTGGAGTGAACTTGGCTAATGTGTCCGGGGCAGAATTCGGCAGCTGCTCTCACACAGGGAGTCCTGCCAGCCAGCTGCTGTTTGGGGGTAAGGTCAAAGCCACCAGCCAGGTCCACCCCAAGTGGTTGACCGCAGGCACACACCTGTTTGCGGAGGTCCGCGATGAGGGAGCTCCGCTGTGTACCTTTGGTCTCCGGCTCAACGTGACTGTCAAAGCGCATCTCTGTGGGACATCCAACACAGCGGAGCCTCTCTGCTCGGGCCACGGAGTGTGTCTAACCAGACCCGGGGAGGCAGGTTACTATTGCCGCTGTGAGGAGCCGTACGCAGGAGACCTCTGTCAAGAGTACGATGCCTGCCACTGGAGGCCGTGTCTGAACCGTGGCATCTGTACAGACAAGAACGAAGGAGCTGGTGGGAGAGGATATCGCTGTGACTGCCCAGCGCAGTATTCAGGTACACGTCTGTAGAATCAAAGAAATTTGCAGCACAGAGCAAGGCCATTCAGCCATCGATTCTCTTCTGACTGTTTTAAAAATAATAATGTTAATAATAATCCTTGCATTTGATATAGCGCCTTATTATGTGGCTGAGACATCTCAAAGCGCTTCACAGAATACACTGTAAAGTGGATTGACTGTACATTTTGTGGCTGACACCTGGCAGCCAATTGTGCACAGCAGCGTCCCACAAACAGTCGTGGATTGATTGTCAATTTTTTTTGAGAGCGATTATTACTGCCGGAAAGCAATTCGCCAATCGATTAACAACCGGGTTCCTACTCACTGCTAGGTAAACAAAGGCGTGTGGAGTAAGGAAACTTGCCTAAGGTTTTGCCCTGCCCGGGAATGGAATCCTCAGCCTCTAATAATAATAATAATAATCCTTGCATTTGATATAGCGCTTTTCACGTCAGGAGGACGTCCCAAAGCGCTTCACAGAACACACTGTAAAGTGAATTGACTGTATATTTGTGGGCGAACGCGGCAGCCAATTGCGCACAGCAATGTCCCACAAACAGTCGTAGATTGAAAATGACCAATTTAATTATTGTTTTTGGTTTTTTGGAGGGATTATTATTAGGCGTGTGGAGTAAGGAAACTTGCCCAAGGTTTCGCCCTGCCTCTCATTTGCGAAGCGAGTGCTCTAACCAATACACTACAGGCCTCCACATTTCCCCATAACCCTTGTAATTTATTGTCAGGAAGTAGAATTGTCAAGTTTGTTTGACCCCAGAGGTTTCCGCTTTGTCTAACTGGGGAGCATGACCCAGAGGACAAGGCTTACTCTTTGGTTGGACGGGTCTGTCGAAAAGCAGATGCAACACACGAAGCGAAGTGATGTACATCGGAAGGGCTGACAACTGAGCCAACCTGCCGATCTGATGGCATGACCTATAAGTTATTTTCAAATGCTTCTGTCAAAGGGAAGGGACACAGATTTGATAAGTTAAATTCAACATTACTCTGACAGTAATTGATTAGCTGTGATGTTAAAGTTTTTTTGAAAATGAGCCCTGTGTTGATCGCTGATTGTTAAATGTAATGGTTCAGAAATAAGACTTGGCATTTACCTATGCCTCACAGCTTTTATGATAATCAGTTCCCCCTTGTAAGACAACAGTCTGGAGTATTAATGTCAGTGTCAGAGGATTAAGGCTGACAGCAACTTAGAATTCTTATAATTAGGCTGTAAATTCAAGCCCTATGTCGTACTTTGATCCAACAGTCTAGGATGAGACATTACACTGAAATCCCGTCCATACCTGTTCAGGTGGATGTAAAGTTCTCGCGACACCACTGTGAAATCAACCTCTTCGACCATGCTTATGATCACCTCCCCTTCTCCCGAGCACAGCGTCCAACCACACCACTGAGCAGCGCTCCGAGATGCTGTCCTGTGTGAAGAGTCATATTTAATGCAAGTTCTTCTTGTTGAAAGGAAAAGGGTTGTCTTGTGTCTTTGTGGTCCTGGCTATTGTACCCACCCTAGCCCCCACCTCCCCGCCCATGCGCGAAATTGGCATCCACATTCGCCAACAAAACATACAGTCACTACATTTGACAGTATGTCCCGTGAAGCACTTTGAGATATCTGCCCGAATTGAAAGGCTCTCCATCAAATGTAAGGGTTCTTCCTATTATTTTATTGATGTAATTTTTGTTCTATTTTGTAACGTTAAGTACTTTGAAGGCAATTACTCTAGTACTATAAATGTCTCGACGATGTGATAAGGCGCTGTATCGATAGTAAGGATTATTATTATTATGAAGTTGTTGCTGTTGTTTCCACAGGTACCAATTGTTCCGAGGTTGTTGGCCAGTGCAAGCCGCAAGTGTGTCGCTATGGATACTGCCAAAATGTCACGCCGAATACGTTTGTGTGCGAGTGCGACCAAGACCACACAGGTGATACACGTCTCACTCCGAGGTTTCCAAGTTAAAAACCACTACATCCTCCTACAGATATCAGTCTAACTATTACCTGATAAACAGAGGGCCACCTATATCAAACAACTGTGCTGGTGAGAGAGGGGGAGAGAGAACCAGGGTACACTTTAGCTGATCGGCTCTGATACAAAGCACAGCCAGGCTGACACACAAAGACTGATGGAGAAGTGGGAGATGGGGAGGGATGAAGAAGGAGGAATGAGTGGAGGATTGGGAAGGGGAAGGATGGAGAGGGGGGATGGCTGACAAGGGGGAAAGAGGTGAATGATAAAGTGAGGCAGTAGAACAAGAGGACACAGATTTAGAGGTGAAAAGGGCAAGTTCAAGACGGGACAAACACCAGGAAATCTCTCTTTTCTCAGAGGGTATTTAATGACTAGAACAGGTTGGCAGGAAAAGTGTATAGAAGCTTCAGAAGGTGTGTCCTCTAACCTGCAGGGATGATTCATTGTACTAAAACAATTCTGCGCATAGAGGTCAGCAACTAATAAATATAGCATCCACTGTTGCAATCTTTGTGAGCCCTTTATTCTCAAGAGCAATTTCAAAGGTATCATTACTTCTGTGTGCTCAGATTCACAATGTCTCAGTGTAGGCTTTGAACCTCCTTCTCTGAACAGAATTTCACTGAGCACAGACCAACGCCTTGTAGTAAAGCGTTCAGGTCTTGTTTGGTTCTCGGCGCTTCTGTGAAGTCCTGGGGCACCTCCCCGAGCTGAAGGGTCACATCCAAGTTAAGTAAAAATAATAAAAATAATCCGTTCATTTGATTTGGCACCTCACCACATCGTTGAGACGTCTCAAAGCTCTTCACAAAACGTATTGTAAATTGGATTGTCTGTGTATTTTGTGGGTGAAACGCGACAGCCAATTGCGCTCAGCAGTGTCCCACAAACAGTCGTGGTTTGAGTGACAAAGAATGTATATTTTCCTGAAAATACACAGTTAATCCAATACTTTGAATGTGCTTGGGATGTCCTCTGTATGTGAAACCAAATCTAAATGTAAACTGCATTTTAATTGTACCCCATAAAGCTCAGTAAACAACGACGACAACTTGCATTTATATAGCGCCCCTCACGCAAGGTGTTGTCTCAGAATGCTCGAGCCTGATGCCGAGCCAGTGGGTGGTGGGGGGGTGAACCTAAATATAGTCGAAGAGGATTAATATCAATAATGAATAGAAACAAGACGTGCTTTTTTTCCTGTCAATATATTTGGCCACTTTCTTGTGCTTGCTTACAATGGGAAGCTCAGTAAAGTAACCAACATGTGGGAAATGACTCAGATGTTCAGATTCTAGGCGTCACATCTGTGGAGGAGGGCAAATCAATCGATGCACATTGCATCTGTAGAGGAGATGACGTCAACTCATACCCAATTGTAATATGTGTGCATGTGTGTGTGTTTTGTTTCATTTACAAATAGTAGGGAACTTTCTTTGAGCTGATAGACAAGGACAATGCAACGCATTTGACTGTAGGATGTGATTTGGCACAATTGCCACAATGCTTTATCTTCAACGAGATGCAAATGCTGCGTTCACTGACATTGGGTGAATTTGTGCATCAATTTGCCTTTCAGCGTGAGTTGGCATTTGGGCAGGATACAAGGCTGGGATGAATGGGGGCTAATTTGTTAAATGCATAAAAGGAATTATAAATAGGGCATGTGAAGAGTGAACCCTGCATTGCACCTTTCCTATTGCTTTTATGTCCTTCCTATAATGAGGTGCCAAAAGCTATTTACAATACCATTCAACCATAGGCTAACTAAAATATTATTATTAGTGCAATCCTATAGTATATTGGTTGGAGCACTCGTCTCGCAAGCGAAAGGACCTGTGTTCGATTCCCTGGCAGAGTGAAATAGTAAGCAAGTTTCTTTACCACACTCACCTATGTTTACCCAGCAGTAAGTATGAATCCAGTTGTTAGTCGATTGGCAGGTCACTTTTCCAGGGGTAATAATCCCTTCAAAAATGTATTTTGAAAAAAAATGTGGGCAATCAATCCACGAGTTTCTGTGGGACACTGCTATGCGCAATTGGATGCTGTGTTTCCCCCACAAAATATATAGTCAATTCATTTTACAGTACATTCTGTGAAGCACTTTGAGATGTCTCACTCATGTATAAGGCGCTATATCAAAACAAGGACTATTATTAATCTAAACCCAGCTCATGTTCCCTATTATTTGGTGAACAATCCATTGCTTGGTGAATTCCGCTTCACAATGATAGGAATAGTTGACATTGAAGGATCTAAAAGCGACGTTGCTGTGAATATTTGGTCACCACAAACCAGTTATCCCTGTGGTAACTGATATCTCCTGCTTAACACCTAAAAGAGAGAAAGATGGTCAGGCCCTATTTGAAGGATTTTGTTCCTGGAAAGCGATCTGCTAATCGACTAACAACTGGGTTCCGACTTATTGCTTAGTAAGCAGAGGCATGTGGAGTGTGGAAATTTGCCTAAGGTTTGTTCCCGCCCAGGAATCAAACCCCAGGTTCTCTCGCTTGCCAGGTGAGTGCTCTAACCCGTACCCGACAATACTTCACACTCGAATAATATTCGCTTAAACCAGCACTTCACAATCGTGCATTGGTTTCCCAACGCATGATGCCACCAATTCAGTCTCACTAATTCAGGATCTCAACAGATGCTATCATTTTTCAGATGGAGAAAACTTGGAGGAAACATCTGCCCCACTTGATCCCAAGGCCGAATACCCAGTAGCTATTATTTGTTCGTGTCACAATAGATAGTTCCTAAGGGAGTTTTCCTGCACCAGAAGGGAAAATGGCATTCGGAATTCATAAATACACCAATTCCTTTTAAGCTGGTTCCGCAATTTTGTTTGGATGTTTTGTTGAATGAACCGCCGTGAGAAACAGATGAGCATCTGCGCACGCTATGTGCCCAACACGGGAGCGCACCCTGCAGCTGACACCTGCAGCAATTAGCCACATTGCACGCTGCAAGTCACTGCAGGCTCTGACAAATG